TTTTTGGGAAGCCCGTTCCCACCGCGCTCACGGCCCGGCTGGCCTGCCAGCGGTAGTGGGAATTCTCCCATTTCCTGGTCAAAAAAGGGTTGGTTGGATGCGGGATCTACTCCACGAGGAGCGGTACGGACGTAGATGATATCATCACGACCTCTCTTTGCGTACCGCTAGGGATGCTTAACGCCACTTCGCCAACTGGCATTACCTGCGCTTTCATGTCTCTCGGTGTGGTCAGCACTGGGTGTTTCCGAGCAGCGAGGCTTACACCCGTTCGCATTAATTCATCCAAAGTTCCTTACCCTTATGCACGAATTTTGGAATAAGCCATCTTCCTATCAAGGTTAAGGAGTCAACTGAGCATCTCAGCGGCGGGATTGAATACCCGGATCGAATCAGAGTTCACGCCGCCCGGCCTGAACAAATAGAATAGGAGGCGTGGGCCACAGGTCGCACATAAGCCATCGGGTCGCACGATAGAAGAATACCCAACATAAAGATGCACACTCCTCCATGTGAAATAGAAAGATTCATCTTCACTTTTTTGTAGTAGTCGTGACCAACAGCCATCAGCAGTCGGCTCGTTGGTAAGGCGAGAGCTTCAAGCCCACTTTCTGGTGGCACACCCCCCAAACAAACACCACTCGACGAGGGGGGGGGGAGCTACAGGCCCAAAACCTTCGACCCTTCTTTCTATATGGGGGTGCCCGGGGCACCTCATCTTGTCATTTTGTTGCTCATTCCCCTTAGGCCGAAGTGTTTGGCCTTTACTTCAGAGCGCCGGCTCACGCTTCGCTGACCTATCGCGTGGTAAAGAGAAGAGAGTACGAAAGAATTGTAAACAGAGCAGACCGCACAAAGATTCTAAATATGACAAGTCCCCCATGGATTCGATAATAAGGAAATGAAGAACGGGAACGAAACGAAATAAAGCATTACTAGCGGATGAGCTTCTCTCCATTTTGTCTGGTAATAGAATAGGGCGGCTTGCTTTGACCAACACTCCACTTTTTGCTCTGTCCATGGAGCGTATGAATTTCCTTAAATGTAGATAGACCCAAAAAAGGGAATAAAGGGATAGGAATAGGAATTATAGTACCATTGGAAGAAGAGGCACCAGTGGGAACATCTCTACTGACGAACCATTTCAATAGTACGGGTGCTGCCGTGCCACGGGGCACGACCATGGAAGTAATGAAAAAGAAGAAGTTATGTAGTTGGACCATCTGCTCTATCCATTCGATTTGAGCTTCTCCAGAGAAGATGAGACGCTAAAAATGAAAGTGTTCGCAACGCATACCGAAAAAGGGTACCTATGTTGCCGACCATTAATGACTAGTTCGAAGACCAGGAGCAGGGGCACGCACTACAACATGACCCCCACTATAGCAACGCTTTTTTCCGTATCTAGAAGGCCATATATGCGATGTTAGTGTATTTACCAACGGTTCGGGGTGCGTTGCCTTATCCAGTGTTGCTAGTGTGTAATGCAACGCTTATACCGGCGTTGGTAAAAGGTACCGTTGCAAAAATGCAACACATAGAACTGACTTGTGCAACATGTTTTATACGTTGGTGATTAATGTAGTCATCAAAATCCCATTGTTTGTCAACAAAAAAATCGCAACGGTTCAAGTGTTGTACATATATAATGTGAAATATATTATTATTTTATATATATTGCCAGCAACTAAATTAATGCTCCATGTAATTGGCGATAGATGTGTATTTCAAGTGAAGAAAAACTAAGAGAATATTACTCACATATAATGAAGAAATCATATATTTGATAAAATTGTGGGTTACAATATTGGATATTACAAGAGGAACATCATCCCAATCTGATGCATAATCTAAATATTTTCGACACATCGAAAGTTCAACCGAAAGTATCCATCAACATCCCTACAACTTATCTAAAACTTAACTGAGGAACATCACCCATCACCCAAAATGAACATCCCTACAACTTAACGAACAATAAAAGCATCCATCATCATCATCATCATCATCATCATCATCATGGACAGGAGCATCATGATCTTCACACACCCATATAATCATCCATTTATTTTTTGCATCTATAAACAAAAAAATCAAAATGAACTGTTAACACACAGTGCATTAACATATGCAAGTAGTTGTAGAGACAGAATATTAGTCATTGTATATGCTGATATATCTCTGTATGCAAACTCGATCCAGAAATTCATCTACAAAAGCTGACTAATATTTACTTTCTCTAGGAAATCACATTAGTAATTTTTTGAATTCTATATACATTGCACACTTCATAAAAATAACAAATATTACTGCCGATGTAACCATGAATGAATTGCATAATCTTAGCATATGAATATCGGATTTGCGATTTAATCCCTATCGTCGTACAATATAATTGACAATTATATCGTTCTTCAACAATGCAAGGATCAACCTCCCAGCCTTTGCTACATAGCAGGCAGAATTTTCTTCAAACATTGTAAAAAGGCTAGTAAGGTGATTCTACTTTTCATACTAGTCATGAACCCATGCACAGACTAACATTTTGTGTTTCACATTGTTAGCTGGGAATAACTACTATGGTGATCCAAAATAGTTAGCTTCAATATGACATCAATAGTTAGCTTCAACAGAAGCCTTGTACAATGCACACTTATTCTCATGACGGTGGCCTTGGTCTGATGTGGTTAGGAGAAGACACCAAAAAGGATTGGTGCGAAATTTCTTAGATTTACAGACCATACGCAAGAATATTCGTATGTCTTTAGAATTTGCAATATATTAGGCCTAAGTTTTAAAGCATCGATATGACCATAGAAAATAAAAGTATGCTTGATGGCACATATAGTTTCACATCCAGGGACAAAAGCTATGAAGAAACTTACCTTATCAGATCAAATATGAGGCCGAATTGGTAATTCTCAAGTTCATCCTCTCCTCTGCTTGCATGCCACATACCTAACTGGTACACGTGCTAATTAGCTCAAGTAAACACTTAATTTCTTTTAAACTGAAAACAAACCATGATAATTTGCGTGCTGCAAATACAATATAACATATGTTTTTTGTGATGCATAGTGACATAAATAATGATGAGTAAATATTTTGTGGGCAACGAACAAAAGTGAGAGTTGAAACTCTGGACCCAAAAAAGCATGGTTGCAAATCGATAGTGTGTGTACTGTTCTAGCTTTCTAGGAACATCTTATTGGGCAAAACCAACAAATTTATATTGAAATTGCTAAAAGAGTAACTAATTTATCGTGGAATGGCTACATGAGTACCTTAATTTTAGAGGGACAACTTGTAGGCGCTTTGTTTCCTTGGAGTGTATTTCATGAGTACATAGTACTGAAAAGTAGTAGTACATCACAGGTTAATCCTTTTATATAGTTTGTTCTTTCCCTTCCCGTATGGAATTTGCAAAACAAAACCGTTTGGTCTTTCCATCGTTCATACATACAATAGGCAGAATAGAACACGTTCCTGACTTTTAATGCGGAATAGTACCCCAAAAAATGCGTCTATAGGAGCACCGTATCCTGAACTCATGATACCCACAAATACTAATATCCTTTTTTAGTTGAAAAGGCAAACTTCTAATATTAAAATATTTCTCATGTAAGAGGATACATCGAGATACCATGTTACCACGAAGAGAGTCAAAAGATAATACAATTACGCTTTATCTGGTCTGAAAGTGCATATGAATATAGAATATACTCCCTCCGTTCCAAAATAGATGACCCAACTTTGTACTAAAGTTAGTACAAAGTTGGGTCATCTATTTTGGAACGGAGGGAGTAATTTGTATTGGCCACCATACTGAGATAACAATACATCAACTCCCAATTGTAACAGAAGCACCTATATTATTTTTGGAAAGTAAGGGAAAGCATCTAAATTACCGCCAAATAATGGTTGAAATATTCATCATTTGGTACTAAAAACACCTTGCTGATGATATAGTCTGGCATAATAATCATATTTGACTAACATAACTCAAAGATCAACTTTTATTTTAGAAAAGGAAAAGAAGCACCAATCTGCAAAATATAAATAAATAAATAATATTAATAAGCAAATTAAATAATTCTGCTCAGTTTCAAAGCCAACATGGCAATACAGAAGAAACCATATACATACTCTGGTTGCAGCAAGTGCACTGCAAGCCATGCAGACTAAGTTAATACGTACAATAGTATAAGTCTTGTATATAGTGCATGATAGTCAACTTGATTTACAATCTCTTATATGTTTGTAGTTAATATATGTTATGTTAAATTAATTGCTGCACTTTGTTGCTGTTCAAGCATATCAATTTGCATAGTATAGAGAGGCCCGATCATTACCTTGCATGTAATATTAATAAGTGGACGAGTAAATATTGAGATTGGGTGCTACTTTGCGAGCTTAATCGTGCGTTAATGAACAGTTGAAGAGCCTGATCTTCTTTCTTTTACAAAGAAAAAATAGATGTAGTCATACCTAGAATGAAATCTGTGGCAGCACCGCAGCAGTATCCATCCAGTCCTATTAGTAAGCGTGCTCAGGTCCTGCCCTGCTTTCCTCTCTGACTCGTCATGTCAATTCGGACGCCGTTTACATGCATAGTACTGTGGAGGTAGATGGTCAATTTAGCAAAGTAGATTTGTGAGGCAGGTATTTTGGGCGTGGCCCGCTGGTTACATCGGCAGCAGCTGCGAATTGGATGACGGCAAGGACGGATCGCGCGCTAAGAACATGCGCCGTTGGTACATGAGATTGGCTTGGGTTTGAGGGAAAACTTGGTGGGCAGTACATGGCCGTACCTTAGATTCGCCGTTGGTCGCAGGAGTGCCATGACGAGGGGCGGCGCGCCGGTATGCAGGGCAGCAGGGGAGTGGTGACGAGCGACGGCGCGGCGGGACGGAGGATCGCAGGGTTGTGGCGAGGTGCGGAGCGCCAGGACGGAGGATCGCAGGGTTGTGGCGAGGTGCGGCGCGCCAGGACGGAGGATCGCAGGGGAGTGGTGAGGGGCGGCGCGTCAGGATGCAGGTAGGTCGCAGCCGTGCAAAGGAGTTGCTCGCGGGGGAGCGGTGACGAGGGGCGGCGGCCGGCGTGGGAGGCTCGAGAGGAATAGGTGACCCTGGGGACAAGGAATGACCTAATCGTGAAAGCCAACTTGGGCTGGTCTAGGTTAGTGCATTTGGGCTTTACTTAGTTGTGGCCGGTTGCAATCTAGTACGTGGGTCACGAGCTACAAGTCTACAACGCATATCCTACAATGGTTATTATATGTGTATCTATTGTGAATTTTACAACATATAATCAAAATGTTGTACGATATGTGTTGCTTTATAGGGGGTATCCTTGTAGTGACGTGGCAAGAAAGATTTGTTACTTTCCCTATGGTTTTCGAACGTTTTCAATAAAACCTTCTCGTAGAAGTATTTTCACAAAGTTTTCGGTAATATTAGTAGATGCTATTCGAACCCTTCCTTTTATTAAGATTCGAATTCTTATTATTATTATTATCTAATGACTGTCAACCCACTCGTGCTGCTCCGGGTGGTCTTCCAGATCGGACGATTGCGGTACTGCGGTGTCGTTTCTCTCTTGGGAGCATCGTTTGTGGAGCAGCACTAGAAGACAGAGGCAGCAGGTGGAGCGGCTTCGTCTTGCACGGAGCTTCGGGGGAGATGTCAAATCATGGCTGGCCGACAGGTGCTACGCACGACAGATCTTCCAGAATCTCCGCGTCTGGATGGACGAGCGCGGGGTGGTGGCGCCGTTGGGCACCATGGTGGCATCGACGGATGGACGTACTGGCAAGGATGATGCGGATCTCTCTCCTGAAGATGGGTAAGCGGTCCGTAGATGACGGCGGTGTCTAAAACGTGTGCATGTGGTGTACGCTTTAGGTCTACTGCACCGGTTGTTCGTTCCGATACGTTATGTGGATGGATCGGCAACCATTGAAAAGTTGGTCGATGAAATGCTAGCAGCTGCTGTGATTAGGCCGGTTTAGATATGGGGAGTGAGCGCACTCCACATTATCGAGTTTTGTAGATGTGAGTAGTGGCTTCGGGTGGGTTGATGTATATTCTTGTTAGACCTTGGTGGAATAATAAATAAAAATGACCGCATGCATCGATTGATGCAGAGATAGGGATTTTAACCTCCTTTTCAGAAGAAAAAAACACATTGATGGACATATGAATATATACTGGACGTACTGCAG